CATAATGCCGGCAGAAGTGAGTATCTTAATTATGTTATCAAATGGGATGTCTACAATGTTGAGCTATGTTAGAATTGTCTCGAAAGCAGCCGCTTGTACCAGGACTACTTTTATTTGGTTGACAATCAAACGCTGCGTTCAGACCTTGGATAATGCTGCTCTTAGTTTCACCATGAACCGGGTAATTGTCAGATGCTTTTGCTTTTCTATTACTTTTCTACCCTTGACAGCAGTCCTATATTGACTTAGACTGTAGTCCTGTGTCATTACTGCTCCGACTTGAGTCTACTGAACCGTAGAAGTACATAACTGTGCAAGCCTGGGATGCGCTGCAAAGGCGCGTCTTTCCACAGACTTGGCAAAGGGGGTGATCAAATATTTGCGTATCTGCCTGCAGTATCACAAATTACTTAAATGGATGGAGGCACATAAGCAGGCCATGGATCAAGATTCAAACATAGACCTCTCCTCTGTTTCCGACAACTGCGCTGAGCTTCCAAAAGAAGCTAAATACGTCGACAAGCATTATTTGACGAAAATTGTAAAGGGGTGCAATCCAGCGATTGAGGTGATGATGAGTTACCAATCTCTCTATTCCACTTGTCCGTTGAATGTGAATTGAGTTAATCAACCAATAACGTTAGACCTTAGATAAGGTCAACAGCAGCGGCGTTAGAAAGACACATTTTCACGAGAGTTTCCTGTCCGGAAGTATTGTTAAAGCAATGCAAAATAAAATGCATTCACGCATCAGAAAATAAGCATTTAAGATTTCGTTTGACTTATTATTTGAAATTACCTAACTCACTCTTAAGAACTCCAAAAATGAGCCTGTTTAGACTACTTCTCTGCGAGAGGAATTTATTGCGATTCTGACACTTGAACGGCATTTTCTCCTAAATGTTAGGAAAAGAGGTATAATTAGGTGTCTTTAATTATTGGACAATAAATATTTTTAAACTGATTAAAAACAAGCTTTAAGGAATAGCTGACGTACTTTTATGAAGCGCAGCTACGTAAAACTGTCGTTTGCTTTGACTCGAGAAGAATAAATTACAAAGTTAGTAGGTGAATGAAGGCTTCTCTAAAAAAATAAGAAGGGTTTGAGTAAGATCCCTTTGACTGGTAAAAAACGAGCATTGAGTAGTTGATCAAGAACACTCTTTAGGAATTGTTTCTCTCTAGGGCGCTGCTAGAATATGACCGTTTCGGGCGATAGGGCTTTTGCACGAAAGGCACGAGTCAAAATAAGCGAGAGGCAATGTCTTTGAGGCACAATTTATTTCCATTAAGAAGCTGCAGTTTACAAATGAGCAAAAAGGAGGGGCAACTACTTTGCAAGACAGGAATCACCTACTCTAGTGGTGTTCAAACTGAACTCAGCTGCGATGACGTTGGGGTTGGCGGCAGTCAAGTTGGCGGAAAAGACGCAAGACTTAGGGGTTGTTGATGCAGAAGCGTATCCTCTGGGCACAGAACTCTCAAACGATCACATTTGGTAAATGCACTAAAATTACGTCACTGCATTCATTTCTATCAAAGTGAGTCACTAATGATGGTATTGTTGATAAAAGCAAAAAACTAAGTCTGGTGAAGAACTCACCCTGTGTGCACTGTTAACTCCATCAATTAGCGGAAGATTGGCACTGCAAGGAGCACTCACAATTAGCCTCCAGTGCATTTCACAAATTCCCAGCACTTTTAGGCAGTTCAGCTTTACTTGAATATTGCTGGCAGTATAATAAAACGAAGTGAGGAATATTCACTGCACGGAAGCATCGGTCCGGCAATCAGTGAGGGATTATGCAGCATGTTCAGCGACCCTAAGAGAGTTAGATATTCCAAAGCCGTTGAAAGCTTGTACACGCTAGGTGGCGATTACAAATTGAAGGGAAGTGACGGGAAGTAGGCTGCAATAGCACGTCATAACCGCAGTGGCCCCCTTTCTTACGGTGCCAAAGCTGTCCCCCAAGTATCGCTGAACCAATCAAGAGGATAAGCAGAAAAATACGCGTGACGCCTACTGTAAGGAGTAAATTAAAAAAAGCGGATTATGAACTGCTGGGAATTCTTCCCTGCCCCATCGCAACTGCAGTTCCCCCTACACCCTACCAGCCACATTTTCATCTGGTTTTCCAGTTCACATTACTCAAGGAATTAATTCCTCACCTATCTGCCACAACCATCTCTCACTTTTTAGAATTCATGATTCCAGACCCTAATCCTTTTCCCTTCTGCTTTATTTCCTCCTGTGACTTTGAGGTTTTTAATAAACCTAACACTTGTGCAGTATGATCCAATTTTGGGGGGATAAGTAATAATGCTTAATTGAACAGACAATGTAATAGATCAGTACAGCATACATCTTCGTTTTAGATTACGATCACCTTTAATACAGGTGAGCT